CCCCAAGCGGTCCCCCCCCCCTCAACAGTGTTGGGTTTCAGTGGGCGTTTTGGAACGCAGTTCTGTCAGTGCTCACGGCGGTGTACCTGGTCGCAACTACAACTACGACCATTGACCGATCAGCGTAAGAACATGACCACCGGCCGGTGACTGTTTGCACACGTGTTTTGGGTGTTTGCACACACACGTGTGTGTTATTTCAGTCGGCATGCGGCAATTCGTTTGCAAAGTCCGGAGACGCACTTGACAATAAGTCCACACCGGCTGTATTTTGACAAAGCGGCATTGGCACGTGTGCAGGTGGCTGCGGCGGGGCTAGAGACGACGGCTACTTCGGGGTTGGGGCGCGGCGAGATGCGAGTGGATACCCGTGCGGTGGCAGTTGTGACGGCGGCAGACTCGACGGAGCCCTTCCGCATCACGCTGACGCGACCCGTGGGCATCTTCGGAGGCGCCGACGTCGCGGTTGGGCTCCGTCTAGACGCACTCACAAAGACAGAAAACCGCACACGACCCGGCGTCAGACACAGCGCCGATCTCTATGCCGACTGCGGATCGCTCCTCGGCAGTCGCTGTTCCAACGCTCTAACACGCGTCGAACTCGACCACTGGCTTCGCGACCCCGCGCTTCCCGCTGTCGTCGGCACTGCTGTATGCGTCGCCACCGCCTCCACTCAAGAAGAGCTCCAGCAACTCACCTCGCACATAACCGAAAACCGAAAGGCCGAAGACCTCCAAAAGACCGAAGAGCGCAAGGACGCACTCTTCAAAGAGCTCATGGATAAGCACCCTCCACCCGACGCGTTTGGTGAAGACTATGAGAGTCATTCACACCTCGTGCTCTTCAAAGAACTCATACAGAACGAGGTGCCCGTCGTCTACGGCAACTACCTCAAGCTCAACCTACTCAATCCAATGTGGTGCAAATTCGACCTGTTCGCACCCGCGGGATACCAGGCCAGCGTTGCGTTTGTGAACATCCGGAAGTGAACATCCGGAAGTGGACACGCGAGTGGATGAATACATGTATGATTAAGCGCGTTTTGTTGACGTTGCTACCGGTGATTTTCATCCTGGCGCTGACAACGACGGACCTTAAGAGCACGCTACCGAGGCACTTGATTGACGTGGACCCTGCCATTTTTCAGGGCACCGGGTACGCACAGCAGCGGCTCAGTCGCAAGACTTTGCTCGAGGCGCTGCGGCATTATGAGCGGGCGCTAGAACGACAAGACGAAAGCGTCTGGGGCACCGCGGTAGTGTCGCCCGATAAGTCGTCTACCGGTCAGTCGTCCACCGGTCAGTCGTCCACCGGTCAGTCGTCCACCGGTGAGCGGGGAGAGCGGCCGTCGGTGGGCGGCCTTCGCATCGGCGAGTCGGTGTTGGCCACGGCCGCGGGAGACTATGGAGCCGTGGCGGAGGGCCTGAGTAGTGAGGAGAAGTACACCATAATCTTAAGCGGCAGTGGTGCATCCGGGCCGCAGGAGCGGTCGGGGTATGAGCAACAGTGGGCACAAATTTTGGGCAGTGTGTTGGATCAACCGTTGAGTTTGCCGGATCTCAAGGCGGTCTGGCTCAAGCTGGTTTTGACCACGCATAAAGACGGACCCTGGAACCCCAAAGGCCGGAGTCCCGGGGCTTGGAGTCCCAGACCATCAAATTCCAGCTTTAGGGACTGGGATGGGAGAGGGGCGTACGGCCCCGGTATGGCTCCAGGCTTAGCCGTCGGTCCGGCGTCTGGGGTCAGCTGGCTCTTTTGGTCGAACTACCTTAACTGGGAGGCGGACGTGTGGATGGAACGGCAGTTGGGCAAAACGGTGAATGGGGTCGTACTTTGTGGCTGTGTTGCATACCTTCTGGCCGCCATTCTCACCGGCATGGTCCCCATGCCCACCACCTGGAGTGAACCATATCCCGTGCAACACGAACACGTCGCTGTGGTCATCGGCCGACACGTCTTCAACCGGCAACCCCCAATACCCCAGTCAGCCCCGCCGGCCGTCCCGAGTACCCCTCCTACCGCGGTCCCGCCTCCTGACCACCCGGACTCCCACCAAGAGCGCGACCAAGAGTGCGACCAAGAGTGCGACCAGGCGGGGGGTCAGGAGCAAGGCGGCGGTCAGGCGCCAGGCCGAGATCGAGACACCGACCCGGAGTCGGACCGGGATGCACGGGGCTCCTGCGCAATCACTATTGCAGATGACCCGCTCGTGACTGAAATTCTCGAAGGACACGGCGCTCTGCCTGGGCTCAGTGCAGTCCGGCGCCATCCACCTGCCAACTGGGAGCAGAAACCCAACCTCCCGGCCCAGGCCGCGCCCTCCGCGACCTGGCTCAGTTGCCTCTCCAACACCTTCAGTCCCTTTTACCCAACCAAAGTGGCCCGTCTCGCTAAGACGGGCGAGGCGGAAGGGACCGAAGACCCGGATGTGTCAAGTGACGGGAGGCCAGGGGATCGCAGAATCGGGGACGGGAGATCAGGGGATCACACCCTGCCCATATCGAGCGGCCGGAACCGGGCTGGCAATAGCTGGCTCAATCATTTGCCCGAGTCCGACAGCTCTTATGGCGGTCACGAGGGCTGCAGCGACGACAGCAGCGGGAGCTTCGCTACCAGGGGCAAGTCCTTCGTCGACCATCGTCGTAGGTCTGCCCCGTGCCGCAGCGTTGAGCTCCGTGGCCAGCGGGGCAGCGATGATCGAAGTTGTACGGAACTAAGTTCTTCTGAAACAGCTAGTGCCAGGTCTGAGCCAGCGGGCTCTCAGCCTTCAGTTCGGTGGTCGAAGGCCGAGGTGATGGCGTCCTTGTCATCAAACCCACGACACGAGAACCCACGACACGAGAACCCACGGCAAGATAGCTCAGAGAACGGGGTGACGCGGCACCACGGTTCTGAACAGAGTTCGAGCTGGGCCGACAAGTCTAAAGAGCTGCTCCGTTCCGCCCAGTCGAGGGTAGCGGCGACCGGCATGGGTGCCCTCGCGGCGGTCGGATCCATCATGAACCGCTGCGGGCCCCGAGATGAGGAGCCGGGCTGCAACCCAGACATGAGTCCACTGTCTTATCTCAGCTCATTCGGTGAAGGCCTCCAAAACCGGCTCTTCAACCAACAAGGTGACCACCAGCAAGGTGACCACCAGCAAGGTGATCACCGGCAAGGTGTTTCGCAGGAAGGTAGTAGGACGGCCGGAGGGCCATCCGGTGGCGACGACTCGAGATTGCTGGCCGATCTCTGCGCCCAGGACCAGGACCAGGACCAGGGCCGAGACCAGGACCAGGATCGGAACCGGGGCCAGGACCGGGTTCCAGAGCAGCTCGATCCGGGCTGGGACCTGAAGGGGGTAGGTTCTCAAACATCCACGACACGTGTGCGACGCATGAAACGAAGGGCTGCGAAACGCCCCACTCCGCGGCTACAAAGTTCCCCCATCCTGATACCCGCTCCAAGCCCCCGCTTTGGGCCCCGCTATTTGCTAGGTCGACCCGACGGGCGACTTAGTCCTGGCCGGCGGCGTTTATTCGCCCGTCTTGGGATACTAAACCCAACGCCCACGTTGGAGTCACTGGCCGCACCGCCTTCCGGCCGCCTTCACTCCGACGAGCTCACTCCCGAACTGCTCCGACCCGACCGGTTCCTGCCCGACCGACTGCGGCCAAGACAGAAGGGTGCCCGGTCGCAGTCTGCCGGCTTGCAGGGTGAGGGTCGGATCAGGACTGCACTACGAGCCCTCGGTCTGAGTCCCGGACACTCTGAATCCGACGACGCACATCACCCAACCGACTTACTTGCGCCGAACTCAGGAACCGATTCAGTTGGAGGACACGGCTCAGCCAGAAAACCCGACTCAGCTGGAGTGCGAGGCTCGCGGCTGGTCGCCAACTGCCGTGCCCGGAGGGAACCCTTTTTGGTGTCGCCGATGTATGCGAATACGAACGCGCTCATTGAGCGGTTCGCCCGGTCGACCCGGCCGGGATCGGGTTTAGACTTGGGTTTGGATCCCTGACCAGCCACCCTCTGACCAGTCACCCTCTAACCAGTCACCCTCTGACCAGTCACCCTTCTTTGATGGTCTGGTCGGGATAGTGACAATTAGGTGTTCAGGACGGGGACTGAAGGGTGTTCTAGATGAGAAAATATATTACAGGGCGGCTTTGGCTTTTCTGCGGTCGGCTCTGGTGGCGGCATGGAAGCCGCTTTTGATGGCTGTAACAGATCGGTTTGCTCCGCAGGCAGCACAGCTGATGGTGTAGAGTCTGGTTCGCGGGTCGCGTTCGACGGTGGTTTGTGGTGAGCGACACATCGAGCAAGTGACGTATTCGGTAATGTACTTGCGCAGTAGAGACTCAATATGCTTAGTACCATAGCGGCCCTTTAGCACCAACTGGCCATCGCCCGAAATAGAACCCTCAGTACCCAGCTCCGACAACACGAACTGACACACATGATCATACGAGCGCTTCATCGTATCGCACAACTCCTGGAAGTTCGTCCAAGCCACGCGTCTAGAACCTACACGGCCCACCTGCGGCGGCTTTATTACATAACGCCGCGACGCTTGCAGGTCCGGGTTGTGCTGCGTGATCATCGTGTGCACACGTTCCAACAACTACAAGACACACTTTGACACACTCAACCGGGGGCAAGGTAATGGGGGCAAAGTAACGGGGGCAACGTAATGGGGGCAAAGTAACGGAGAAGTGCTCGGAGCGGAAGGCAGGGAAGTGTAACGGGGTGTGCACACACGACGGGGGTTACACCAAGAGGGACAGCCTACGAATTCGTAAGGGTAGACCTTGCCTGGCACAAACATCTGGCCGGAGCCGTCCACGAACGACTCTGTAGCGATGTCCTTGTCTTTATCCTCAGACTTGTGCTGCGACTTTTTCTTCTTCTTCTGACCAAACAACGAAGTAGCCTTCGGGTCGCTGGTCTTCAGGTCACTGGTCATCTTTGCATCTTCGCCAGTCTTCACAACATCGTCCCCGTCGTTGCTCATGCCCTTTTTTATCAAGAAAATATCTTGCCCCGCCCCCCAGAAAAAGAAAAAGATTTTTGGTAGAGAATAGGCTCGGGCTTTGCAACTGAAGCTTGGCATTGCGCCGCCGCGAAATGACAAAAACGATCTGTGCACAAACACGCACACGACCTTATTGGTGACACGAAAGAGATATTGAACAGTGGCCATGTTACCACTGGTAACATGGCTGGCTGTTGTGGTTAGGCGAGTAGGAGAAGTGGCTAAGGGTTCCGTGAACTTCAACGAGACAAGGAAGAACAGTTGGCTTGGCTTTCACTATCACGATGATGGGGAAAGAATCGTCAGTATTCGCATTGGCCTAACATGGCGTCTGTTACCGGACATGTGGGTCTGCTTCGCGGTTCCTCAAAGAACCGCTTTATTCAGTACAGTACAGTATCTCGTCTGCAGGTCGGTATCTCTTGATGTACATCCACCGACACTTCTAACAGCCTCCCACGAAACCATTCACAGCTGCCAAGCCATTTCACAGGGGAGAGGCCCTCCAGTACACGCAATCCAGCGTACACTTGCTATTCCGACGCACCTTTGACAACTGTAGCCTGCCACCGCTTAGTACTTCAACCTGTTGTTGTCCAATTCGCGCTCTCATCAACCGTGGGCCAGTTGTCGTGCATATCTGTCTACATACACAGAGATTGTCGAACTCCATTCGTATGACGACAACTCCAAGCCAATCATACCGAGAAGTGCGTGTGACAGAATGCGTGTGACAGAAGTGCGTGTGACAGAAGTGCGTGTGACAGAAGTGCGTGTGACAGAAGTGCGAGGCTAGGACTTTCCGGTGTTCACCAAGCGATCATCCTGCTCTACATTGGTTAATTGACATTGGTTAATTGACATTAGTTCACTATGATTAGTTCATTATGATTAGTTCACTATGATTAGTTCACTATGATTAGTTCATTATGATTAATATTAATATCTATTGACTTTGGTTCTAAGATTTTTCTTGTTATTAGCAAGTCCCGAGTGGGACTTGTTAGGTAGTGGTTTTCTGGTTTTGAGTGGAAGTTTCTTGACCTTTTGATTTGGTTGTCTTTTATTCTCCTTAACAGTGGTAACCGTTTTGAGGTTTTCTACATCCAGCCAATTCCTTCCCGATGGCACTGAAAAGGTACCGGTAGCAATACAGGAATAACATGGTTCAAAGCTCAACCTATGAATGAATGATGGTCCAATATGAGCAATTGCTTTCCGATGAAACTCAGTTCCATAACCCTTATTGGTCTCAAGATCATATCCTTTATATTCGACTGCATAACGGCGCATCACCCGGTCTCTGTGGGCCTTGGCCACAATGCTAGCCGCACCTATAGAAAATACTTTAGCGTCACCTTTAATAATCGCTGAAACGGTCACTGCCTGGATCTGAACCGGTAGAGCAAAAAGGGAACTTCCCCGCATGTACTCCAACCCAGGAGGAACCTTATCACCGTCCACCAACACCTTCATCTTTATATTACACATGTCCTTATGATCATCTATTATACGGGTCATCACCTTATACACCGCTTTCTTCATTGATTCCAAAGTCGCTGCAAGAATATTAATTCTATCTATCTCATCCGCACCACAATCGTATAAATCGAAACTGTACTTCTTGTCGATGCTTGAATCCTCTACAAAATACTGTCATGACGACGGGGAGATTTACTGATGGAGTCATATAATTTTTCCCGGTCGTCTTCTTTGATCTGTTTTGAGTCGTTGATCTTTCCCGTCCAATCATAATCCTGTATAGTCCCGTAATCATACCAGCAAAAAGCCGCCGTAGTAACAGGACCGCATAGAGGCCCCCGGCCTGCTTCATCTACGCCAATCACGAAGTCATACTTGGGCAAGAAAGTCTGTTCATAACTGCCTCTTGGCATTTTTTAAAAAGTGGTTTCACGATTCCTCGTTGGTCTTAGGATCCCATTTACTCATCTAAAACAACTGTCCTTCCCCCACTGCCCCGTGCCCTTCCCCCACTGCCCCGTGCCCCTT